TTACCGAGCCCTTAACAAAGTGACAATGAAGAACAAGTATCCCATCCCGCTCATCGCGGACTTGTTCGACCAGTTGGGCAAAGCCAAGTATTTCTCAAAACTCGACCTTCGGTCGAGGTATTGGCAGGTGCGCATTGCTGAAGGCGATGAAGTGAAGACTACCTGTGTGACCAGGTATGGAGCGTTTGAGTTCTTGGTGATGCCTTTCGGCTTAACCAACACTCCGGCCATGTTTTGCACTCTCATGAACCAACTATTCAAGGAGTATTTAGATAAGTTCATAGTCGTCTACTTAGACGATATCGTCGTCTATCGTTAAACGCTCGAGGAGCATGTCCTGCACTTTCGGACAATTTTCAAGGTTCTCAGGGAGAACACTTGTTCGTGAAAAGGGAGAAATACTACTTTGCTTAAACGGAGATCTTATTCTTGGGGCATTAAATCGGTGATGGCTCCATTCGCATGGACAAATCAAAAGTGCAAGCGGTTGCGGAATGGCGAACTCCAAAGAAGGTACCATAGTTGAGATCCTTCCTTGGTTTCGTCAACTACTATCGATGCTTCATAGCGGGGTACTCGAAGCGTGCAACTCCACTGACGGAGTTGTTGAAGAAGGAGCAGCCTTGGAAGTGGTCGGACAAGTGTGAAATAGCATTCCAAGATCTGAAGGCTGTTGTTATGGAAGAACCCGTGCTCAAATTGCCAGACTATGGGGAGCCTTTTGAAGTCCATACAGATGCTTCATATTTCGCTATTGAGGGAGTACTCATGCAAGAGGGTCATCCGGTGGCCTACGAGAGCCACAAGCTCAACGAGACCGAGCGGCGATATCCGGTGCACGAGAAGGAGATGACAGCGGTGATCCATTGTCTACGAATTTGGCGACACTACCTTCTCGGATCGCGATTCGTGCTGAGGACAGACAACATCGCCCTAAGCTATTTCCAAACACAGAAGAAACTTTCCCCAAAGCAAGCATGATGGCAGGACTTCTTGGCTGAATTTGATATGGCAATGGAGTATAAGCCTGGAAAGGCAAATATCATGGCCGATGCATTGAGTCAGAAAGTGGAGTGTGTGAATGTTGTACAATTGAAGGACAGAGGCTAAGCAAGTCAGTTGCACTCTAACTTCCTTTTCAGGATCAGGGTTGGACTGTATAGTGACCCCCAAGCAGTTATCCTGATGTAGCTCATCAAAGAAGGTAAGGCACAATGATTTTGGATTCAAGAGGGACTCGTTTACACAAAAGAGAATAGGGTTTATGTTCCCTGAGTGGATAATTTGAGGCGTGAACTCTTAAGAGAGTGTCACGATTCTCTTTGGGCTGGACACCTAGGTATTCACAGAACGTTGGCTCTCGTAGAGAGGGCCTTCTACTGGCCGAAGATGGGGACTGATGTGGAGGAATATGTTCGAACATGTCTCACTTGCCAACAAGACAAGGCGGAGCAGCGAAAGCCGGTGGGACTTTTAGGGCCGTTGCCCATACCAGAAAGACCGTGGGAGAGCATTTCCTTGGACTTCATATCAAGCTTGCCACTTATAGGGAGACTCGAATTGATACTCATGGTGGTCGATCGATTTTCAAAGTATGCAACTTTCATTACTGCTCCTCTACACTGTTCAGCAAAGGAGGCGGCCAAGCTGATGATGAAGGATGTGGTGAAGTATTGGGGAGTCCCGCATAATATCATTAGTGATCGAGACGCTCAATTCCTGGGACGATTCTGGACCGATCTATTCAAATTATTGGGGTCAAAGTTATACTTATTCCACAAGCCTCCACCCCCAGACGGATGGCTAGACTAAAAGGATAAACTCGCTCTTGGAGCAATATCTTCGGCACTACGTGAGTGCCAACCAACGAGATTGGGTGAAGTTGTTGGACATTGCCCAATTCTCCTACAACTTGTAGCGGAGCTCTGCGTCCAACAAGAGCCCCTTCGAGATTATTACAAAACAACAACCGTCAACTCCTCACACCATGGCAATCGGGTATACTGGGAGTAGTCCGTCAGCCTACCACTTCGCAAAGGAGTGGCACCGAAATGCAGATATTACGCGGGCGTACTTGGAGAAGGCGACAAGAAGAATGAAGAAGTGGGCAGACTTGGGAAGGCGACCACAAGAGTTCAAGGTCGATGATTTAGTGTTAGTCAAGCTCCAACTAGCATCACTCCAATTCTTTAGGAATAAAGTCCACAAAGGATTGGTGCGTAAGTATGAAGGGCCCTTCCCAATTATCAGCAGGGTAGGCAATGCTCCTACAAATTGCAACTGCTAGCGTGGTTCAAAGTTCACAATGTTCTTCATGCCAACAACATAAAAGCCTACAACTTAGATCTGCAAGATACTTCCCGAAGTGTTTCAACTCGGCTATCACCCACCACAACCTCTTACGAGAAGCGAGTTGAAACCATTCTGACGGATCACAAGAAAAAACTACCCAATAGAGCTGAGCAGACAGAGTACTTGGTGAAGTGGTAAAAGCTTCCCCGAACTGAAGCTAATTGGGAGTCTGAAGACACCCTACGATATGAAGAAGCAATCATCAACAACTACTAACAAGTGTCGACGAGGGTGTCGACAGTTTAAGTGGGGGAGAATGTTACGAACAATCGTCGCGCACCCCGCAATAACTCCGTTCAACGAACCATTTGTCGCTCACATCCACATGTACAGCTTCTTGGCAACATGTTTTACCTTGGTTTTGAGTCATTTTGCTTGTAAAAATGTAAACTCGAACAAGTTGCAGCGTTACTAAGCGACTGCTCACCGAACCGAGCAAAACGGCCCTAAAACAGCCCAAAACAGCTCCGTTTTCGTGTGCCACGAGATGTTTTCTACAGTCCGCCTTCGCGTACCAAAACGTCAGCCATCTTAGCCCCTTTGAATCCCCCGAGTGGCACAGGGCTAGATGGAGCTTCGGTATAGTGTCGGGAGTTGAATAATCTTTCGTAAGTTCGCACGTTACCTTGACGGGAACTTGTTGTCACGCCCGGCACCCGGTTAGCAGCTGTTTGTGGACTTGCAGCTGTTCGTTCAACCCTCTAAAGTCCTTGTTTTTCCCCTCTCCCTCTTTTCTCTTGTGCACGCAAGGTGCTGGCTGAATTACTTGTAAAGCTTCCCCTGTTTTCGTGAGACGTCGGGACTTGTCCGTCGCTCGTTCTTTTGAACTAATCAACTTTCTCTTTTTACAGGTCCTTCGGGACCTACGAGAGGTTACAAGTGGGCTGATCTTTGCGGAGCAATATCGCAAGGGCGAAGCGCAACTTAGGCAACACAAGCTAAGTTCGCGTCTTTATCGCAACGGTGCCTCGCGACTTAGGCAAAGCAAGCTAAGTTCGCGTTTTGACCGCAAGGGTGCCTCACGCCTTAGGCAATTCCAGCTAAGGCCGTGACAGAGGGGCCAAAGTCAGGAACCCCTCGACACGGGCCTTTGTGCAGGAACTCAACGACCCCTGGAAGCACGACCGTCTCGATCGAGAGGCACCTTCCCAACAGACGACTTCAGCATCCCGACCTCCTGATCCAGTCAGCTTCAACACATCTCCCGATCAACTGAGAGACGCCTTCCCGTAGACGACATTGACGGCCCGACCACTGATCCAGCCAGCTCCAACACCTCTTCCAAGCGACCGAGAACTCCGAACATCGATCCGAGGACCAAGCCATGCTGACTCTTCGACCGCGACGCATTAGTTCACCAACACTACCAGGATTTGAAGATTGACGTTGCTTCTCTTCCATTCTCTGTGGTTACCGCGAGTCAATGATAGAACGAGTGAAAACATTGGAAATTGATACCAGTAGTTTAGTTGATAGTCGTAGAAATCAATGAACAGTCTGTTCAAATATTTTAGTTAGATGTTCTTGTCACAGTCTACAAATATCAGATTCAGAGACGAATAGTATGCTGCGCCTAAACAAATTCCATACGCCATCCTCCTCTCTTTTCCTCTCGCATACCTCCATGTTAGGTTCACTACTTCACAAAAAAGATGACCCACATCACGACGAGAGTCCCTGTTTCTACTGCAAGCTGATACGATGACGATGCTTGGAAATAGAACAGGTGTGTGGTGATCTCAGCTGATTTAGAAGCAGTAATCCCATGTTTTAATCTTGTCTATGATGGATGAGCAATATAAAGCATTATAGATTGGAAATTGAACAGGTGTTGCTGGTCGCCACCGTTGTTGCAACTCCATCGATGACAAGATATTTGTGTCTGTAGTTGACCTTCTTCGGTTGACTCAGTAGGCAGAAATCCCAAGTGTGAGTTGCAGACAAGAAACAAATGATTCGGAAGCTGCAGACGAGAAGCATTGAAGACAAGACAACCCCACCTTCAGTTTGGAAAAGATCAACAACACATATAATGATGAATCGGAGAGTGCACAACAGGTCGATGACAGCGAGCACCTCCGGGGCCAAAACCGACGCGACAATCCATCCATCAGCTGCTTTCTCTTTAATCCCCGTGGTAACTGTGGTCGAGGTGAATCAGAGAGTGGACGACAGCCGTCGATAAATTCCACTCTGAAGCGTGCTTCCCCCCCCCCCCAAAAAGATTTGCTCAATTCTTCCTCGTGCAATTGATTAATGGTTCAAGAGCTAAGAACAGTCCTTTGGGCGTCAGGGATGACGACGATGTATTTTCTTATGAATAGATCGGAAAAGTACTGTTCTTTTTTCGTATTTTAATATCTATCTTTATGATCCTTGGCGGGCACGACACGCCGTTCGATCTCGGCCGAGCACATCGTTTTGGACGGTCCGCGTTCCTCCGACAGTGTCGCCGCCGAATTAGATTTGGCATGCGTACTTGTCCGGATGTTATAATCAAGAAACCAACCAATGAAATGCTGACAGCTGGACGGCCTTCCTTGTCCCCTTCTCTTTTTTATCTCGATTAGTATCTGCAACAGTTAGGAGGCCAATTGATGGCTTTTGAATGCTGCCAATGGCAGCCAGAGGAGGCAACGGCTTGCCTGTTCTATTTAAATGGACTCCTTCCGACCTCTCTTCTCCCCCTCGCCTCGTCGTCTCCCTTCTCATCGGTGCTGTGTTCTTGCCTCGTTCTCGTCGATCTTTCTTCGATTAGGAACAGGTACTGTTCGACTAAGATTTCTTCACGTTAAATCAACAGAAAACTATAACAGGGTCGCAGTTTCCCCGAAAATTCTACAAAACGGGTGAAGATTTGATCGGCATTGGCTAAATAATTCGCTATACGATGGCTAAAAGTTCGACCTTTTCGTGTTTTGGCTGACTGTAACAGATCAAGATGGAGTACGAGGACCGACACCGACGGGCGCAGCGACGCAAGCACGATTGCCTGCTCTTCGGTACGTTTTCGGATTAGGGTTTCGAAGTTTCGCTGCAAGCTACTCAATGCGCAGGTCTTGTTGTGTTCTCGAACGCAGATCTGGATGACACGCTCTACCCTTTGAGCTCCGGCATCGCAACCGAGTGTCTCAGAAACATCCAGGGTATACATTGACACAGTTCGACTGTATTCTGACAGAGACTCTGTGTTCTAACTCTTTCCTTTCATGTTTCAGATTACATGGCCGAGAAGCTCGGGATCGAGCAGACAAAGATCCCGGACTTGTCGAATCTGCTGTATAAGAGCTACGGGACGACAATGGCGGGCCTACTGGTACGCAGAGTTGCTCCATTTCTTCTTCTTTAGACTCAAATCCGGTACAGTATCATGATGTTGTCTTCGTGCCGTCCGTTGTTCAGGCCATCGGCTACAGATTTGACTACGACGACTACCACAGGTTTCAACTCAACTCTAATCTTGCTCTTTCTGCTTCGCTGATGAGGACGATGGATGGTGCCGTTGACTTCAGCTCTATTCGACAGCTTTGTTCATGGGCGATTACCTTACGAGAATCTGAAGCCTGATCCCGTTCTCAGGCATCTCCTGCAGAGCCTTCCAATTCGTAAAGTTGTAAGCTGTTCGAACTTTACGTCAGAGATCATTGAGAGTTCACTTGGCAGAGGTGCTGAGGTATTTTCCTGTCCCGAAACAGATATTTACCAATGGCGATAAGGTGCATGCTAAGAAAGTGCTTGAAAGGCTTGGGATGGAAGACTGTTTCCAGGGAATTATATGCTTTGAGACGCTGAATCCACCATCGTCTTCCTCTGAACAGGAAAGCACAGCAGATATATTTGACATTGTTGATCACTTCTCTCACCACAGAACTGGAGCTGAGCTGCCAGAGACACCGATACTCTGCAAGCCATCTGCAAACGCCATGGAACGTGCTCTCAGAATCGCTCATATCGATCCTCAAAGAACGGTGAGATGCTCTGTCCTTCACAGACAAACTAAGACTTGATCTGACCGAACGAGTCTCCTGCAGATCTTCTTCGATGACAGCGTTCGCAATATCCAGTCGGGGAAACGCATTGGCTTGCACACAGTACTGGTAGAGTTCATTTTGCTGAAATCTGCCTATGCTCGTTGAAATGATATGGTCCATTGCGACTGATGTCTCACTATGGATTCAGGTTGGCACTTCACATAGGATTAAAGGTGCAGATCATGCATTGGAGAGCATCCACAACATCAAGGAAGCATTCCCTGAGCTCTGGGAGGAGGGTGATAAAACAGAGGATGTTCATCACCCGGGCAAGATTGCGCTGGAGACATCCGTGATAGCTTAATTCTTCCATGAAATTACTGTCAGAGGAGGATAGCTAGACCGCTTCATGAATGTAATCAAGGGGAAGGAAAGAGGACAAGCATAACATGGATGAACTTTTCCTCCAAAAATCCCCTGTTCTGCTGCTACACATGACTTGTACTCCATGCTCAGAAATAAATCATTTGGCTAAACGAACAGACATGCAGAATGAATCATCTGTTCTTGTTTCCTGTTTGAATTCTGGTTTTTGTTGTAGCTCTGTGATGAGAGATCTGTCATTGAGTTGGCCCTTTTGCTGTAGTATTTATTATCTCGCACAAATTAATGCCGGGTGAGGTTTGTCTGATCCTAAGAAAAGGTAAGCCATGGCCTCCATTGCTGAATACTAAGAAATTAAACCAGACAGATCAATCTGTAGCTCGTGCACCTTCCATCATGTCTGAATATTCTGCAGGTCAGCGGATTCAGATCCATGCTGGTAGTATCTACTCCAATCCAAGCTTTATCCAACACTGGTTCTTCCACTTTGACTTCTTTCCGCAACTCAATTGTATGTGCTCGAGCTTGTGACCGATCCACCGTGGCCCAACTTGGAGAGAAACAGCGGAGCTCCGAGTGGTATCAGCAGATGGACAGAGATTGAAAAGAGCCGTCACCACAACCTCTGCATTCATAAAAAAGACTAGCCATGCCTCGCACTAATCCTTCCCATCCACTGATTTGACCTGCGGTAGCACTTCTTCTTTTGTTTACGTATCCTTCGTCTGTGATTTGGACTAGTACAAGTCAAGCTCAAACCTTGAGGTAAGGTTTCTATGGCGGCATTCCTCTGATGTACCATCATCTGAAGGCTGTGTTGGTCCTCCACATGCGCAAGTTTAGACCCCGTACACCCATACTCATGGAGGCGACTGGGGAAGAAGAAACGGAGGGGACATAGTAATGGAGCCGTGTTGGTAACTTGCAAGGCTGTGTTGATTGCGATCTCATCTTCCCACACGCACACACCAAACTATTCGTTCATTCTTAAGCGACGGCGGCGTCGTCGTCGTCGCGTGGTCAAACAGCCGATGCAGTTGGTGTCGTGTTTTGTATTTGGTGACGACTCAGTCGATTCTGTCATCTTTTACTTACACTATTCATACCTCATTTTGTTCAAACCTAACCAAATGACCATTGTTGTTATTTGTCATGTCAATTTTCACGGCCATCAAATCTTCCTGTTGGATACTTTATAATTAAGAAAATAATTTAATATATTATCTCGAGAAAAGTATAATTTTTTATTATACTTTCCATTTCAAAAAACATATAAGTATTAAAAACACGAAAGAAGTTTTGTGAATGAGGGCACAAAAAATGATACTCTCCTCTCCAAAAAGATAAAAATCTAATTATCTTTACATATTGGGCTAATCTAATTATCGATACATGAAAAATTACATAAGAATCAAACGCATTTAAAACATGCCAAATCTCTTCACTTACATTGCATATAGCTCATGAAAAACGAACTTATCTTGTGTAATATCTTAACCATCACCTCAAAATTATATTTCACATGGATCTTTTTGACTTCCTCCTATACAATCGAAGGTATCTCTCACTACTATAATCTTGCAGTATAACATATTCGAGCTTTTTATATTACTATAACATATTCTTTTTAAAAAAAATCAATACCACCAAACTCACTATTCAACCATCAATTAATTGTACTCTCTAGTTCTATTTCATTCATTGAGTCTAACTAATTTTACCTTACATCCTTAAGTCAACGTATTCCGTCTTCCTCCTAGCGTGGATTGAAACCTTCCTCCGCATAATTTCATACCAATTCAAAGTCAATTTATCGTATTTGACTACTATTTTGACACATCTCCTTCATAGTTCCATCAAATTGAGACATCAATTTACAATCCGAGACATACACAACAGCCATGTATATATATATATATATATATATTAGAGAGAGAGAGAGAGAGAGAGAGAGAGACAGTCCATGTGATGGCAATAAATACGTCTTCAACATGGATCTGTTCCCATTACAACAAGACAAGATTACACATTTATTTTCCCGTAATATACACATATACAACCTTGGAAAATATCATGGCAAGACCGTGGCCACATGCACTTGCCAAGTTTACTTGCCGTGTCATCGTCTCACCGAGCGGGCCAAAACGACATCCTACACGTTACGAGATTCCCTCCCATGGCAGCGTGGCTCACCACGCCACGTGGTCCGCATGCACTGCCTCGTTGTCATATCAAATTGAGCTGAATTAACTCATGCCTTGACCGAATCTTAAAGCACATCAAAGCCGACTAGTACATGCGTATAAAGTGATCGTTCGCATTAGTTGGATCCGATCAGTTGGGTCCCTCTCAACCACGTCAACATCCCTAATTTTGTTTCATAGCGTGTTTGTGTTAGCTGCTGGGGTGAGAATAATAAAATTAAAATTATTTTAATAATAAAATAAAAATAGAAAAATAGTTTTAAAATTAATAATAAATTAAATTTTTAATAATAAAAAATAAATAATATTAGTATTATTATTATTATTATTATGGAAATTAGTGACAGTTCATGACAGTGACATGCTTAGTCTCCACTTCCTTCCAATTTAATTTATTACAATACAATCGATACCACGTTACATACATTCGTCGCGACGCGTGGAGAACCCAATATATATTACTGGAATTCTGCATTTAATTAGATTACTTAAATTATAAGAAACGAAATTCCACGTCTGCACGCCGCCACCAATCAAACGATTCCTTTTCGTCTCCCCAACCCCCGTAACTGGATAAGGGGCTTTTGACATCCATCGTTCTCCGTTCGACACGTGTCAGTTGCAGCGTTATGGTCGGGCGAATTTTGACTGGATAACCGTCCCCCCTCCTCTCTCTCGTATGCACACAAACGCGTACACTGTTATCGTTCCCACAGCCACACGAGCGTAACCCCCTTATCCCCCGGACTAGTAACGCCGTCGAATCCGGTGGCTGTCGCTTCCGCCACGTCACCCTTTCCCTTCACGCCGTCAGTCAACCCCCCTCGAAAGTGACGGTCCATCCTCATGTCCCCCCATGCAATTGCTCCGTAGCTCCACGTGGCCCGCACCCCACTCACAACGGACGGGCCACAATTCACCTCCCCATCCTCGCCGAATTGACCATAATGTCCTTCCATTCTCGCACGTGCCCCTAGATCTCGAGGGTAGTCTTGTCAAATCGAAACGGCTACATGTGATTGAGCCCTCTGATGGGGGACCCGGAACAGGAAACAGCTACCTCTAATTCTGGCTTCATTTTTTTGCCACGTGCAGCGGAAACTTAGCATCCGGTTTCGCATTATCCCACATACTTCCAACCACCAAAAAAATATATATTTACATATATATATATATACATATATATATATACATGAACATATTTGAGGCAAAAAAAAAGTTTTATTTTCACTTCGGTGAAAATTAAAATGATTTCTGCGGTTACCCCAACACCAAAACCCGTCTGGCGTACAGTAAACGGCACGCTTCTGTCACAAATTATCAGACAGGTGTCGTGTCAAGTAGTCGGTAAAGCATTTTTTAACGTACAAAACCGTTGGATGCCTGAACTGAATCCTCGACCGTGCGATCTCGGGGAATGGAAACGTGGACGGTAAGGGAGCGGTTGGTGATGGCAAATGGATCACGCGACGGGAGGTAGCGGCCATGGTTGGCTCCGACAACCGGATACAGGCGGTGACGCCGCGGGGAGCGTTACCGGATGAGCCGGTTGCCGGGTGGGGAGGGGTCAAAGGCATAATAAGAGCGGGGGGGGTTTAAGCCAAAAATGGGATGGTTTAAAGAGAGGTTTTGGCCATCGATAAAAGGGGGGGAGAGGGAGAAAGATGTATATATAAATCGTAGATTTGGAAGAAGTAGAGGAAAAAAATAGAAATTGAGGGGTGGAGAGAAACGATTCGGGAAGAACAAAGGCGTTGATGAGGAGCGACTTGGGTGGGAATTCCCGATTGAGATCTGGAGTCGAGCAAGTTGGAATCCTCCGATCTCGTTTCCGCTTGAATACGGACGGGTGTTCGGCGGACGTCCGGCGTTTTCCCCGCGATCTGATGCGAGTTTGAGATCACATCGTGTTCTTGAAGGTAAGCGGATGGAATTCTGCTCCATTTCAGGTGGTTAATTCTTCTCGTGGACTCGGCAGCTCCGGATTCGGTGCATTTCTCTTTGGTCCTAGCCAATACCGTGAATTGTGCCTCGCTTACGCCTTTCGTGATGAATTTGGCTTGCTCTTCCGTGATCCCGTTGGTTTGTCTATTTGGAGAAGCGATCGGAACTCTTTCGTGTACAAATTTCAGTAATTTTGTTTTAAATTCTGTTGAATTCGTTTGCGATCCGATCTGCGCCTGTGCAATTCATCTCGAGCATAAGGATTTTTCTCTATCTCTCGTTTCTTTTCTTGGGGTTTTGGATCTGGAATCTCAATTTCGTAAGCCTTACGGTTCCTTATGCTTGTGATATTTGTCTTGGTCGCTTCTTTCCAGGGTTTCGTGATCTCTTAAAACTTCTTCCGTCCCCGGTGTAGGAAACTTGTGTTCTTTTCTACTTTAAACCTCTTTTCCCCGCTTGAGCGAAAATTTCGAAGTAACCTGACATGGTAAATCTGCGATTTATCCTGGACGTACAGAAGCTAAATTCCCCATCTCAATGTCTGCTGTAAATCCTCGTTTTTCGTATTAAGCTCTGTTCATGAGGTTTTGGGTTTTTGAGATGGGTTTTGATCATTTTGTTATATTCTTCTGTCCATCGTTGTAGTTTTAAGACCTAAAAGAAGGAATTTTACCTGATAAATGAGACAACATATGTTTAGTTTCCGTAGAATTTTCCCATGAGATTTTTCTTTTCTTTGTTAACTGATTTCTTTGAAACGCATTCTCAACTGGAAGTGGCAAATACCCAAGCAAGCTCACTTATCCAAAGGATTGCATTTGTTTCACAGAAAATGTCTTCTGGCATTGTGGAACTTGGATTGTTATTTTTCTACTCTTTGTAATTTTATTAATCACGTGAAAGTTTAGCAATTCCTTTCGATCTCAATTATGGATATTTCATATATTTTTCTTTCGGAATTCATGACAGATTGTAGATACAGTGATGCTTCTCTTTTGCAGTTGCTGAGTTTCTTCTTCCTATGAGTCTTTGGGATATGGTGTTGCAAAAGAGAGTGGATTGTGGATCCAGTGGCTACCAGGCCCCTGTGATGCCACATTTTCCAAGATCAGCTAAGGTATATTTGTTGTCCCAATTTGCTCTTATCTTTGTTTGGCATCTACGCTCTGCGTAACTCGTCACGGTCCATCTACAGGGGAAGCGTTCTGTAAGAAAGAAGGTTGAGGACAACCAGATGTGTGCATTCGATTTGCTTGCAACTGTAGCAGGCAATTTATTATCGGAAAGGGAGAATTCTTTGACTCCATGTAATGATACTGGAACATCTAACACCGTTGCGGTTAAGGATACTGTTAACCAAGATCAATTGGATAAAGAGAAGCCATGCAAACTTGAAGCTTTTGATTGGTTAAGATGTTCTGAAGATTTATCAGGTCCCGAAAATGACCTCAAAATGCAGATCAAGCATGACATAAGGGAAAACACCTCAAAAGCAACATCGTCTGATCCTGCTTCTCTCTGTGTAAAGTCTGACATATCAGATGAGGATCCTATCAGTGGAGAATCTAAGTTCTTTGGTGCCAGTGGTAAAATTGGACATGCTGTCGATACTGTTGCGGAAAGATATGCCATGGGAAGGCCTTATTCTAGTCCTGCAGGATCACTCGAATGCAAAGAAGATGGGAGCAAGACACCGCAGCAAGCTGAACGACTAGTGGCTGGAAATGCGGTAGATGGAAATGCTCCACATACGTACAGTTTGAATGATGCTATGGATTTGGATGGCAAAACTCCTGCTTTAGTTAGCTCTGACAGCAGTTTTGAAGTTCCCCTATACAGGAAGAACACCCCTTGCAATAGTTCCTTTCCCAAGCAGGATGAGTGCATGGATCTCCCTATAGATAAAGATGGTGATGAAAATTCTTCTGGATGCACTCACCCTACTATTGTTACTAACAAGGCCTCTAGGTTGCAGCGTATAGGTGACCGTAGGATAAGGAAGCTTTTAGCATCAAAGTTCTGGAAAGTATCTCCAACAATGTTGCAGGATGGTGAGGCACCTAATAATGATACTACAAAATTTCTTCCCATCCTTCTGATTGATAACTTGGCAAGCAGAAATTGTCATTAATATTTTTAATTCTATCATTCAAATAGCATATTCATCTTAGTTCCCTTTCCATTTCAGATGTAGACCAGAAGCCTGCTTTACGAGGCAAGAGAATGTGTTATACACGCCAAAGAACGCAGAGGAGCTCCTTCAAGAGAAGGAAATTATTTTATAACTGTTCAGTATCAGCTTCTGATGGGGGGATTTACAGTGAAGGTGTGTCAAATATATGTGAGAAGGGTAGGATCAAGTTAGAAACAAATGATTTGCATGCCACTTGGTTTGGAGGTTGGTTATATATAGGCTATCTACTTGCCTTATCCACCTGCTTGGATGCTTTTGAATTTTGAGTCAAAATCATTTCTTTTTAATTTTTGCAGCAAATAGTGCACCGTCCTCCACAACAGGACAGAAGCCATGCTGTGAATTGCCAGACTACCATGGTAAACAGTCAACTTAGTACATCATATATTCGTCACCATTATATGTCATTGATTATTTTGAGAACCCTGACATGATTAGGTTCTGAGCTGCAATCTTTTCTACCTCTTTGTTTCAGTGAAACTCAGCATTAAGTCTTTCAAGGTGCCAGAACTCTTGATCGAAATTCCTGAGACTGCTACAGTTGGTTCCTTAAAGGTATTTTGCATTTTTGTCAAATTATCAATGCAATTTTCTTTTTCTAAATAGAGGACTGTACCTTGCCACAGGATTTACTTTGCATTTTCAATGTGATACAAGGTGTGAGAACAACAATTCTATGATAATCAAACTTAATAAAAGCCATTTATCTTATGCTCAATTTTAGAGTTGACTTGTTGTCTAGGATGATAAAAACTTGTGCTTTAATCATAAACCAATGACATTTTCCGTGTGTCCAATTTAATTCGTTGTGTCGGAGTACACATCTTATCTAGCTCACTGTTTCTCTTTGCTTAGAATGAGCCTGTCTGATGTTTTTTCTTTACTTGAAAGATTTTTGCTTCCAAACAATGTTCTCAATTTGTAGTTTGATGATTGATGGATTTTCTTTTCTTAAAAAAATATCATTATTTTTCAAAATGATGTTTTTGTTTTTTAATTCTGTGTGTTATTATATCATTGCAATTATGTGCAGAGGACAGTTTCAGAGGCTGTGACTGCTATCCTTGGAGGTGGACTGCGTATCGGTGTTCTTCTTCAAGGAAAGAAGGTTAGACATGACAACAAGACCTTGCGTCAGGCAGGGATTTCCCAAGGTGACAAACTGGATAACTTAGGCTTCACATTGGAGCCAAATCCTGGACAAGCCCCAGCACCGCTAACAGGTTCTGAAGACCCTCATTTCCTTGGCCTTGGTTGTGCCCCTGAACCACTACCACTCGCTAGGTAATTGGATTACAGGAACCTTTCCGTTTTTGTTAGCAGATAATTCTATAAAGGTTCTCTTTTACGGTTGCAAATTCTATTGTCAAGGAGATACCAACTGCCCTATAACATGATTTTGTAATTTTCTTTAAGAAACTAAATGTTTTTTGTTAATGATCATTTTGTACATTTCATAGGATACCACCGACTGCCCCTGCCACTACAGATCAGCGGGTATCTGATGCTTCTCCGCAGCCTATGACGACCTGCCCTGAGAGCGATCACGATTCAGTGTATTCCCCAGCTGATGCATCATCACCGGAGAAGACAACAGCAAACTCACTAGCTCTGGTTGCTGTCCCACCGACGAACGTCGAGGCACTGGCCATGGTTCCACTCCGCAGCAAGCCCAAGCGGCCTGAGGCTGCTCAGCGCCGGGTCAGGAGGCCCTTCTCGGTGGCCGAAGTGGAAGCCCTGGTACAGGCAGTTGAGAAGCTTGGGACCGGAAGGTTTGCTTTCATTTTGCTACACTGATATGTCAATAATAGATCATTGCAGGCAGGATTCCTTACGGCTGCACGTATTCATTCTACAGGTGGCGGGACGTTAAACTTTGCGCCTTTGAGAATGCAAACCACCGTACTTACGTAGATCTTAAGGTAATTACTGTCATGAACCTAGCATCAAGAATACGAGAACCAACCCTTGCATGCTTCGACTTCTTAATCGTCAAATGTATCAATCATGTGCTTTTGACTCGCACATTTTGCTTCCGTTTCAAGTCTTACTAGTTCTTTGATTTAGTAGACCATGTAGGATGGTTAGCAATATCTGTGTGTCCCAGCAAGGAAAAGCTTGTGTTTTTAGCATGCTTGGAGCTGCCTTTACGTATCAAATTTAAATTAAGGACTTCTATCCAGGACGAATCTTCCTGTCATGATTCAAAGCAATGTGTGCCGTGTGCTAATCGTGGTGAATTCTTTTTGTTTGACGCAGGACAAGTGGAAGACCTTGGTGCACACAGCCAGGATCTCCCCACAGCAGAGGAGGGGAGAACCGGTACCTCAGGAGCTCTTGGACCGGGTGCTCGCAGCCCATGCCTACTGGTCCCAGCATCAAGCCAAGCTCCAGCTGAAACCACCACCTTCAGCTGAGATCTGCCAGCTTCTCTAGCTCCACAATCTAAAAGCCAATTGACCCATGTACAAAATCCCAAAAACACACTCACAAAAGAAAGAACAAGGTAAAAGTAGTAGATGAAACTGCATAATAATTAATATTCACTCACACCATTATTCTTGAAGCCAGGGGGTTCTTCTCCTTGTGAAGTAACAAGGGAAGGAGCTCTCATTGGCGCTTGTACATGACGACTGATGATGATCCAGGGAACAATTGGGCATGGGTGGTAAGAAAAAAAAAAAAAAGGAATAAGGCAGCTGCCACTAACAGGATTTGTTCATCTAGTGCACATCCACAGGCTGACTGCAACCAGTGACCTCTCATTCTTTTAACTCATTCTTTGTTGGGGGAATAGGAGATGTCAAGAATGCATTAGCCGCATTAATCAGGTCATCCTGTTGCTTTTCTTTTCATGTTGTAATATTTACTGAATTCATTCTCTCTCAAACATTTATTTGATGTAACATTTAATCCAGATGTTCCTGCAGTACAAGCCATTCAATTCATGCCGTGATTGCTCTGTTACTGGTTCTCATTCAGCATTTATTGCAAATTCTAGCTGTTCCTAGTGCATTAGACGTGGCAGAAACACCATTTTAGGTGGCAACTAATCGACTAATACAATGTGAAAACAAGAGAAACCCATTTGTGCATTGATGCAGCATTTACTTGACTCTGTAGATGTATAAACAGAAAATCTTAGAAAAAATATTTAAAATAATAATAAAACAAGATTCGATCGTTCTTGATTTGACTAGTGAATAAATTTTATTGATAAAAAAAATCATATAATCGATCCAAATAGTTGACATCCTGTAACTAAGTAAACTAGTGGAGATGATAAGTATTGATTACTTTAAGCAATGCAAATGCAACTTGCACTTATTAAAAAAAACTTCTTTTTTTTTTTTGTCTTTTCGATTCTCATTTCTATCTCATCTTTTCTCTTAAAACTTTCATCTAGTTAACATGAGTTACAAAGTATATGAAACTTTCGGTCTTGTCTCTCTCTATGCTAGTAACGAAGATGGATAACTTGATATTATCATAGAAGATCATCTTTTCAAGATCAAATGATAATTGAATCTAAAAGTTAATCTAGACATCAAGAAGGTTTCCTCATAGGATAGGAATGACAGACTAATCTATACGGTAACTTCCTAGGTAGGATTCTTTCTTGAACTTGCTTTAAGACATGGTTGGAAGATTTTTTTTGTTTTTATTTTTATTTTGTGGAGAATATGAATTATATATTATTGGGAGGGTTATGATTTTTTAGAGGGCAACTTTTAACCCTCATTTCAGTTTTTGTTAGAAAAAATTAAGTTCATTCTCATTTGGCTGCAACTCTTTGGTCTTTCCTCCGGAGCTCATTCAATCCAATCTCCTCACACAATTTGTCTCTCAATTAAACATATTCTTAAAAATAGACTAGGGTATCCTCTCTCACACAAGGGGTAAGTATGCTTGTATCTGTGTACTTCTAAATCTTTCTCAACCAAGTCCCTTAGGAAATTTGGATTTAAGTTAGGGTTTTTAATTTTTTTTCACATAATTACATTTGAAAACATTCTCAATATTTACTTCGGCAAAGTGGGCCATAGAACCACCCATCCCCTCGACCTTCCTTGCTATTCCTATCGGAACATAAGGTTTTCCATCAAGACAACGAAGGCTAGGGATGATCTCCTTTACAAACCTTGAGTCCATGTTCAAAGCTATACTAAACCCAAGCCCGTTAAGACCAACCTGCATCTTCAAGACACAGGTAAAAATATCTCTTTCGACCCACCAAGTAACACCCTCCCCTTGATATGGTTCAATCTATTCATACCCATCATGTATCTGTATCCGACCTAAGCCTTGGTCAGGAGGTGACCCAAGTCTCATCACTTATTTCCAATGTAGTGTCCTCTTCGATGAAGGTTCTTAATGCAATAACTCATTTGTTGTCTTGTTTGTCACTCTTTTGCCAATGCTTGTCACTATGTTGTTGGTGAGCTCAAAGGCCATTGAAAGTCAAGCGGGCAAGTTAATGTCATCACTCTCTCAAGCCTCTTAATATGTCATGTGTGCCCAGGAGTAGCACATATTTTGAACTTAGAATCGACTCTAATCGTTCACCTATTTCGACAATAAAATTTTCTAAAACCCATCACTTTTTCTATTATAAAATTTTTTAGATCGAGAATAAAGTCATTCACAATTTGCTTTCCAGATCATTCTCTCTCTCTAACCCTAATTACTTAGACCCAATATTTTACTCTATCAGCACCTGTCCACTCTAAGCTCCTCCCTCTTAGTGGAAGAGATTCTATATCCCTAGCCTTAAATCTGTTATTGAACATACCCTATCGATAACTTAGGAAGAGATCCTAGGATTTTATCTCCTTTATTGCTCCTGAAATATCTTGCCTCATGGCCTTTTAAATAAAACCTTGCTCTCAATAGATAACTCCATTTGAAATAGTGGCCTCAAGCAAGAATATAATAGCTCGAGTAAGAAGAAAATAATATCAAAATTTTTGAGCCTCGGGGGCATCATCCCGTTTCTCTCGTTAGTATATAAATTTTTGAGCCTCTTTTGATTTACTAGGCTAACTAGCCTCCTTGCCCTACATTACTCAAATTATCTTCTTAAAATTGAATTAGCTATTCACAAGATGGGCCTCGATAAAAGCTTAAGTCTTAATGGATTCAATATGAAATTATTTGTAGCGTCTAGAATATTCTCAACAGGAAGGAAGATGAACAAGTAACAGGTAAAGTTTTGAGCATGGTTGCAGTATAAATAGTGACTCAATTAGCAGCATCAGCGTAAGAAAGGAAATGTTGGAAGTTGAAGAGAAGACAACTGAGGGAAGCTGTAAAGAACAGCAAGGGAAGCACTCTAGATGGTTGAACCAAAAAATAGTACTACTCCAGCTATGGCAGAGTCCTCCAACTATTCAAGACAAACAGTGCATCAAAGAGTCGTCCACACTCTCAAAATCAAATGGGAGAGTAGTAGCAACTCTATATTGCCAACCCAGGAAACCGAAAAGTGCGATATAGACAGATTCGAAGCACAATGATAGGAAAGATGTACAACAGGTGACAGAGATCTGATTGTTAAAACAAGACTCGGCCTTTTGTTATCGATGGCGCCTTCAGCTTCTGAGATTTTCTTCAATTGGTACAAAGAGGAGATGCCGGAGGCCTATGATGAGCAACCTTCCCCTTGGCACATTCGTTCGATCTTCTCCGAAGCGACCTGTGTGAGTTGCTACCGATGCTTTGGCCGCTCGACTTCTGTTCACTCTGAGGGCTTCTCTCTGTGTCTTTAGCATCCTGAAGCTGTTCTAGTGCAGCCACCACTTGATCCATGGTTGGTCTGTACCTTGCTTCCGAGGATAAGCACTGGAGCGCGAGGACAGCAGCCTTTTGGGCTCCTACGAGTGAATACTGCCCTCCCAATCTTGGATCCAAGACGCGGAAGATCTTTCGCTTGCTCGTGAGATAAGGCCTTGCCCATTCCACCAGATTATGCTCTCCTGTCGGCCGGTTCTTGTCCACAGCACGTCGGCCAGACAACAACTCTAGAAGAACAACTCCAAAGCTATACACGTCGCTTTTGGCAGTCAAATGGCCTTTTAAAATGAACATGTATGAAATCCAGTGTCAGTACGTTCTCATACTTCAACATCATATATGCATGCATATGCTTGTCCAGAATGAAAGTTGTTTGGCTGCATGCGAACAACTTTCAAATGAAAAGTCAGTTTGAAAAAATATTGGTAAGGAAAATCATGACTATGTGTTGCAAAAATATTGGTAATTGCAAATGCATTATAGGCCAGACAACAACTATCAATTATGCGATCATGGAGAGAAAACATTCGACATGTATAAGAAGATCACCTGTTGCAAGGTACTCGGGAGCTGCATATCCATACGTTCCCATGACCCTTGTAGATACATGACTTTTGTCACCTGTTGGACCATCCTTTGCCAATCCAAAATCAGACAGCTTTGCTTCATGATTCTATAAAACCACAAAAAAAATGTCAGTGATTTTTGTCAATTTTGAAGGAATAATAAATAAAAGCCAGAAGACCACTGACTGAATCTAGAAGCACATTAGAGGCTTTAAAATCACGATATATCACTTTTGCCACATCGCTATGCAAAAAGGCAAGCCCTTTTGCAGCTCCAAGTGCGATCTTCATACGAAGTTTCCAAGATAGTGGTTGAAAATATGAACCCCCTGCGTCAATATCAAATTACAGCGAAGAACGATCAGAAGAGCTGAATGACAATCGACAGTAGTCATTTTCAAAGAAATGCTTCAGCCTATCCAATGGATCGGATGTAGATCATATATACTTACTCCTGAAGAGGTGGTTTTCCAAGCTCCCTCGAGGCATGAATTCATAGACAAGAAGCCGTTGCTCGTCCTCTAGGCAGTATCCAATAAGCTTTACAAGGTGCGGATGAGACAATTGACCAAGATAATTTACCTCTGCCTACAAGAAACCGAAACAATGTCAGATTTGTTGCAGAAAACAGAGCACGCTTGCCGACATACCGTGACATGTTAAAGATAACCTTATACGAAGGCACTGAATAATCAACTCTCCAGATTAAGCTATTGCTAAATAGTTAAATTAAAAGGAATTAAAAAAAAAACTCAATATACGCAGAGTAAAATGATACTCACCAACCATTCCCTGTGACCTTGATGACCTTCCTGGTTCAGCTTCTTCACAGCAATAACCACTCCAGTGCCGGGTTTGGCAGCTGCAAGTGTGTGCTCATCGATCCATCCCTTGAATACCGAACCAAAGCCTCCCTCCCCCACCACACTGTCCGGTCGAAAGTTTCTGGTGGCTATTCTCAGTTCAGTGAAGGTAAAGCTCTTCACATTCACTGACTGCAAGATCTCACCCTCGCTGCGCGGGGTTGGAGGCACAGATGCTGCAGACACCTTGCTACTAGAACCACTTAATTTCTTTCCATCCCTGCTACTGCTTTTAGAGTGAAGTCCTAGGCACGAAAATACGTCTCCTGGTGAATCAGATTCAGGAGAACTGATCAAAAAAACCTACAACTAAGGAGCAAACTGACACATGAAATTCCCATGCGCTCATACCCCCAAGTTGATCATTAACCCAACATGGTTGTCGAAGAAAAGATTAATGCATTGGCCTCTTACAGAATGATTTTAGATTAACATGACCATAAACACAGAGGTAAGAAAAGTCACCACACCCCATCAAAATCATTCAACCAAATGAGCCTATGAAGACCGAAGTCATGATATGCTACTACATTTATGTACTGTTGTCCGGTAAGACTGATTTCTTGGGATAAAATCCTCAAACTCATCTGGAGATACAAAGATAGGGATGCAAAATAAAGACAGGATAACACCTGCATGAACAGTTATTCACCATACCTCACAAAAAATTTCCGGAAAAGGTAGGTTCAACAACATGCAAAAGAAAGCCCCAAGTTGATCTCTCAA